ACAGTAGCCGCGGCTGGGGGTGGGGGACTCTGGGCCGGTGAGAGAAGGCAGATTGGCCCCTTTTCTCCAAGCACAAGATGGCTTTTGAGTACCGAGTCCCCCACCCCCACTCATCCACCCGCAGTGCTGGGCACCTCCCATCTTTCCGTCCGCTCGAGTGGGGGCGGGAGCTGGGGGTGGGCAGACGCACTCTCCTCTGCTGACGCACAACAGCCAACAGCCTCCCCCCTAATTGCCAATTAACAGGGCCCGCCGGCCGCCTAGCTGCGCTCTCTTCCTGCTCGGCCGCCCGGCTCTGGGCCCGCACTGCGCATGTGTGAGCTCTAGCGGTGGCGCTCTCAGGGAGGGAGGGGGCTGCGGGCAAGGAGGGGGCTCTGGAAAGTTTGTTTGGGGGTTGGGGGGGTTGACTTTGCTCAGGGGACAATGGTTACAGCCTATAATTTTCTCTCCTGCCCTGGAGTTTGAGCTTCCCGGCCCCCTCCGTCCCAGTCCCATTAGCCAAGAGGCCACAGATCTCTTAATAGGAAGGACAGGGTGGGCATCAGGCAGCGCGTCAGCGCACTAGACCCCGGCCTTGAGCCCCACAGGCGCAGTCCTCTTGCCCCCCGACCCCCAACTTCGGCGCACAGTGACATCAGGACAACACTCTTCCCACACTACCGTATTACAGCTTAACCCAATCCTCCCCCCCGCCCACTTTTTCTCCCCTTAATTCCCCGCACGCCCACCCTCTCGCCAGCCCCCCTCTCCTCTCTAACCAAGACAAGCCGCTGCTGTCCTTATCTTGAAACCGCCACCCAGCTACGGACCATTAGTTACATATTTGAACCAATAAGGAAACACTTACCGGGCGCTGCTGTCACTCTCCCTCTCCCTCTCTCTCTCTGCCTCTCTCTCTCCCACTCTCTCTTTCTCGTCTTCCCTTATTCTGTGCCGCTGCCGAGCCTGTCTCAGCTTCACACACACATATACACTTTATATAAATTTAAAAATAAAAAAGAATAATCCCAATGATCAAAAAGCCAAATAAAATTAAGGAGAGTTGCAAGAAAGGGGCAGGAGGGAGAGGCTAGGAGAGGGGAGGGGCGGAGGCATCTGCAGCTCCCTATCTCAACTCCTGCTCCCGCATTCCTCCTGCCCCTTGGGGGGCTAAAGGATCGGAAGGGAGAGAGGGGTGCCCTCAACTCCTGCCCCTTCCCCCACATCCCCCCTCCCCAGGTGCCCCCCAGCGTCCGGCAACTCCACCTGGGAGGAAAAAAATTAAATGGGGGGAGAAAATAAGTATTAATCAGATTAATAAAAAAAATACTGGTAATGAAGGGAGCGCCCAGCGCAGGTTTCCCTGGCAATGGTTAGGCTCTTACAGGGAGGACTGTTCTGCGGAGCGCTCCGAACGGACAAACCACAATAAAAAGTTCACGTTCATGGATGGAATCCACATGACTTCTTGTGGCCAATCCAACTTGTGAGTCGATCGTAAACTTTTATTACTCAGCTGTAAATTTTCTGCAAACAACCGGGAATGCGATGCATTTGTGTAGCGTGTGCAAATGGGCGCCGCGGTCGCCATGTTTACCCAATTCTCTCGGAGAGGGAGCATCCCCCGACCCCCACCCCACCCTTGCCCACCGCCCACTCCCAACCGGCCAGGCTGCTCCAAGCTAGCTCAGAAAGGGCAAAGGGGGAACGCAAGAGGAGGAAAGGAAGGATTCTGGCCGGGAGTCGGCCCCCTCCCTCTGCCATACCGAATTTTAAATATTTTTCTTAATAAATGGGGTATTAAGGTTGGATCTGGGGGAAGCGAGGCTTTGCAAAGGTTTGTGGCGATGGTTGGTGCAGTGACGGCTGGAGGTGTGAAGGGACTGAGAAGGGATGCTCTCCCTACTCCCACCTATTTTTCTAGGAAAAGAACTACATCTTTCCCAGTGGGGAGCCCTGGCAGCCCCCCACTCAGCCCTAGACAGGAGGGACACGCTCTGGAAGCCTCATAACCAAGCCTGACCTGGCCGTAGTCTGAATAACTGAAAGCGCTTCGACCCCTACTGAGCAACCCTGCGGAGGCAGCTGGGGCGGAGTTGGGGGCAGCCTCCAGAACCCCCAAAGTACCCATCATCCTCAGGCTCCTTTCTCAGAGAAAATTACATTTATCCTTCTCCAAGACCATCGCTAGTGTCAAGTCTCCTCAATTCCTAGGTTTAGATGGCAGATAACTCCCAATTTTTTTTAGAATTAAAAATAAAATGAAGGCCCAAGCTCTTGGTTCCTACTCCCCCCACCCCTTTGGATGCGAGGCAGTTTGAAGCCTTTTCTATTTTGTCAGGTGACCGGCACCCACCTGCCTTTTTCAGAAAAATTCTGGCATCCTGGCAGCTGGGATACACCTTGGAGGCCCTCCCCACAAAAAGAAACTTACCATACCTTCCCCAAATTCCACCTTCTATACCAAACTCTGAGCACCTGAGGTGTCCCCCACCTTTCTCCAGACCCCTAACTTTGACGATGAATTCAATGTGGGGGAGCCCAGAATAAATTCCCCCATAGAGACTATTTGCCAACCAGTCACAGCAGAGCCGAGTCACAGCACAACACTCCCCATTAGCTGGAGATTTGAAAGCCCAAAGCACTCCCCTTGATCCCACACGGAGCTGGCTGGTGTGGGGACATCCATGGCTGGGTGCCCCACCCCAAGCCATAGGGGGTCCCTCATTCCCTCCCCAAATTTCCTCCCTCAGTAAGCGAAGCAGTTCCCTCAGCCGGATGCAGAGACCTAGTTTCTTTTACAAACCCACCCATAAATTTTATAACAGGTAGTTAAAAATTACGACAAGGAAGCTCTGGCCCAGCTTTTCACAATGGGCTGCTGGGAGAATGGGACGGCACTGCGGGCTGCTCACCGGAAATTTTACTTCTCGTCTGTGGCACAACCTGTCCCGAGTTCGGTGTAATTGGGATGAGGTAACTTTCTGGAGCGGGCAGGAAGCCGGTGGGACATCTCACTTGCGGAAGATGAGGCTGGGGGGAGGCCAATCTACTCTCCCATCCTAGGGTCCCCCCCAAAGCCCTTTAGACGACTCACTACCTCCCTCACCCACAGGTCTCCTGCAGGCCCACACCTCCCTTGGCCTCTGCGATGAAGTGGGGAGGGAGATAAAATGCAGAAATTAAAAAAAAAAAAGAAAGAAACGAATTTGCCCCCCAACTAAATAGCTAAATTATCCCATCTCTACGTTTGAGATTAGAATGAAAAATTCAAGGCGAAATGAGCGAGATGCTTCTACTCAGCATTTTGAAAGATACTATTTTTCACAAATCACAAATAGCTTTCGGAAGCCACTTTGATTGGCTAATAAAAAAGTAAAGAATGGGAGAAAGTCCTATCTGCTGCCGCCGAATGGTCCCCATTCCGGTAATGGGACGGCGGGAGCATTTGGGAGGACGCGTTTCTAAAGAGAGCGCATCCCGCTCGCAATTAAGTTCCCCCATAAAACGGGTTTTACCTCCTTTTCTCTCCAAACGAGAAAAAAGAGGCGGTGGGCAGAAGGGGTGGGGGAGCGGGTGCTGCAAGAAGGGGCGGCTGGAGCTGTCTTGGTCTGGCCCACCCGGGGCTTCGCATCTCAAGCGATGCTGGGCGCCAGACGCACCCCGCCCTCCGACGCCCGGCTTGGGGCCACGGGCATTGCTGAGCAGGGCCAGGGATGAATGGGGCATTTGGGTGTGAGGGAAATTCGCGACGTCCTTCGGAGCCACGTAGTGTAGGGTTCAAGCAACTTGGCTACGAGGTCCGTGATGTTTACTAATAGCAATCATAATTCCACGTTAAAAAATGAAACGACCTGCGGCCGGCCCTTGGAGTCTGGAAGGGATGCCCGTGGGAAGGCCTGAGGTCGGAGCGAAATGCTCTCTTTTCGGGCCTCCCCTGCGGCGGGTAGCCAGTGCCTCCGGCAGCAAACAGGGTTACCTGGCTGGCTCAGCGGGTCACAGCAGGGACCCCAGGTTTCTAAAGATTTTCCCCAGAGCTGTTCAAAGCTGTTCCCGGTTGCCTGCAGCCTGTGCTTCCAATCGCCAGCCTCTCTCTCGGCCGCAGGAGTCCCTTATCAAGGATGCCTGACCCAATCCTGTATTCACTACCACTTTGTGTGGGAGCCAGGGACCCAGATGCGGGTAAAATTACACAAAATAAGAGTCAGCCTGGGCCTAAGACTGTGAAAATCATTGACCAGGGGGGGAGAGAGAGAGAGAGAGAGAGATCTGGCCTCAAAAATATTTCAGTCTTTGGAGGATCTGGTTTTAAGGACCTTCAGAAGATCCCATCTCCTTCCCTTTCCCCTTCTCCTGACTGAGCCAGATGACTTGTATCTCTGGAATTTGGTATTATTTGACCAGAATCTTACTGGCATGAACAGATTGCTCTGCCTAGGATGTCCAGGGAAGAGTAAGACACCCCTTTACCCCCTGAGTCCCTGAGCCTTCAATCCCTTATTTTGGGGAATGAGGAGTCCAGTGAAGATTCTCTTTACCCTGCTGTGGCTGGGATGGAGGACTGTCCACTCAGCAGGCCCATGTCCTCACCCCCAGGCCAATGGCCCACACCATGAGGGCAGGCAAGCTGCCCAATTGCCAAGGTGAAGCCAGGCCCGCTTGTAACCGCCAGAACAGAGGCTAGGTTTGATGCTAGCGGCCTGGGTGACAGGGATGGCTCTGTGCTGATGGCATCTGAATTTCAGAACATGGACCCAGGCTGCTTGGTGTACAACTCACTCACCTTCCCCTTCTCCTTTCCTTTCCCCCAGGCTGAAGCTTCCTTAACCCACACTCCTAGCCATCTTCCCCCCAGCCAAGTCCTCCAGGCTGCCCGGGGCCTCACATTCTCCCCACTCTGTGCTGGGTGCCCAGGGTTGACCATGAGGGGCATGTGGAGACCAGAAAGCCCCCCATGGTCTCATCCTCAGTCCCTGGAAGAAAAAGGTCTGGCTGTGGGAGGGGCACAGGGGCAGATTCTTTGTCTGGGCCCAGCCCGAGGCTGAGGAGGAGGAAGGTGAATAAGTGGGGAGACTCTTCCTTCCCATTGGGATCCTGGTATTTAGAAACCCATTTAGTTTGGAGCCAAGGTTCTCCCGAGAGCATGCTTGGAGCACAGTGCTCTTCTTGCCCCACCTCTGCACCTCCCCCACCTTTCACCTGCCTTCCCTGCCCAGACTGCCCTCTCAATTCCTAGTGAGTTCCCCCACCTCAAACTCAGATCAGTGACGGAGACCTTTTCCACGGGGCTGGGAAAGAAGGATAAGGAGGGAAGGAGGAGTAGAGAATGGAGGGGGGGGAGGGGGGCGTTGGAGAAAAAGCAAGTCATTCCAGCTTCAAATATTTTTTCTCCTTTTTTTTTTATTATGACTCACGTATACAATACAAAGTACTTGGACCAGGAACAGGGCTGCCGGGACACAAAATCTACATTCATAGCTGGACATAAAGACGAATGACCCAAAATTATTATTATAGATATATTTTAACGTTTTTTTTTCTTTCGAGCACATTGCATAAACAGAGAATTCAAGACAGAGTTAACTATACATTCAGTGCAATTTAGTTCTACTCTACTGGGGTTAGAAGCACAATAAAAGCGCACAGGACCGGCGGGCTAGGCAGTCTCAGTTGTTGGGTTTTTCTTAGTGAAATAAGCAGCAACAAACGACAACAAAACCGCATTACGAATACTCTCAAAGCAGGATTTCTTTCTATAGGTAGTGATAAAATACGTTGGAGGTTTCTTTCTTTTTTTTTAATTTTCACCTTTTTCTCTTTTTTTCTTGCATATTAGGATTTTTTTTAATTTCTTTTTTTATTTTTTCAAGATTATTGCAGGTTCCCTTTAGGTAGTATGTTAAAGATTTATTATCAGTATTATTATTATTATTATTACCATTCTTATTATTTTCATGATTATGGTGATATCTGAGCACTAATACTAGTGTAGCTCAGAGGAAGCTGGGCCCAACAACAGAAATCAGACAGCGAAGGGGAGGAAGGCATGGGCCCGAGTGACCATGGGATGGCTAGGTAGGATTTTAGCCAGGATTGCAGGCTCCTATCTACCCCATGAGGGGGGGGGGAGGGGAGAGACCCGCATCTCCTTCAGGTTTCCATCAGGTTTCTATAGAAAGTCAAGGGAGTCTTTCTAAGTAGGGGAGCCCCAGAGAGGGAGAAGGGATAGTCCTTGCTATCATTTAAAAAATTTCTTTAAACATCTTCCTTCCCTTCCTTCCTTCCTTCCTTCACTTTTCTTTCCTTTCTTTTGAAAGGAAATAAATCTAATACACTAATCCTAGCATAAAAGCAAAGCCAGAAGTCTTTTGCATTTTGAGAGGGCTCCCCTCTAAAATAAATACCAGAGAAGCAGGGGGGTGAGAGTGTGGCAAGAAGGGGTGAGAGAGGGGCGAAGAGGCCAGGTCTCAGACCTTAAAATCCAGGCAGGACTCCAAAGGGTGGGGGAAGGGACAAGTGTGTGTGTTGGGGCAAGGACTGAGACAGAGTCCGAACTTTTCGCTGTGTCTCGGTCTCCCCCACTCCAGCCCCCAAACAAATAAAGATCGGGGGAAGTCCAAAGGTAATAAAACCAGAGCTGCAAGTATCTGACAGGTAGTTAGAGTTGTGAGTGTCATTCTATTCTCTATAAAAGCAAATGACAGTCGTAAACTTCTCAATTTATCCGCTACCATAAAACGAAACTTCAAGGGAGTTGCTAAGGGAGGGGGGGCTTTCTTTTTTGCTTAGTCCTTGTTTTCTTCCTTTTCCTCCTCTTCTTTCTCCTCTTCCTCGTTTCCTTCTTCCTCCACCTTCTCTTCATCTCGGGCTCCGGGCAGTTTATCCTTGTTGTTCTCCTTTTTCCACTTCATCCTTCGGTTCTGAAACCAGATCTTCACTTGTCTCTCAGTCAGTCCCAGGGCGTGAGAGACTTCAATCCGGCGCTTCCGTGTCAAATAAGGATTAAAGAGAAACTCCTTTTCTAGTTCCAAGGTCTGATACCGGCTGTAAGTTTGCCTTCCGCTGCGCCGCCCCGGAGCTGGACAGAATAGAACCCCAGTCTGGTTATGTTTGGGTGGGGGCTCGGCTTTCCCCTCGCCATTCTTCCTCCCCTAAAGTCCCCCCTGTGATCTCCCCAGTTTTCCTCCCTCCTGAAGACCAGGCAGGAGCAGGGAGCAGACAAGGGCAGGAAAGTTTGGGGGCTTGCTTTGGTTTGGCTTCACCTTGTAGGTGGGATGGGGGTGGGGGCAGGGACTGGGGTCTATCAAGAAACTGGGGGATGGCAGGGGCCAGGGGGAGCACTGCAGAGTCCCCCCCCCCAGGCCTGCAGTCTCAGGAAACTGGCCCTTGCAGCTTTGTTTACAAGTGCAGAGTGGCATTTGGTGAGCAGAGCTGGGGATAGAGTCTGTTTCCCAAAAGAAAGGAGAAAGATCTGGGGGTAAAGAAGGGGGGCTCTGCGCACTGGCCCCTCCTTGAATCTCTCTGCCTAATGCCTTGCCAGGAAGAAAAATAATTGATCTCCTGGAATGTATCACTGCCTGGCCTGATTGCTAACTGGAGACCAGCAAATAAATCACGGGCCATCCCCGCTGGAACTTGTCGCTTTCTCGCTTCCCCTTTTACTTCGAAATTGGGCCATGAGGGGCCACCCTTGGAGGGGCTCATGGCCTGAGCCACTCTGAAGGTCTCAGGGAAAGCCCACAAACCTTTGACTGGGGGCAGCTCCAGCTTGGGTCCTCTGGACCCCAGAGCCCTCTAATCTGCATGGCCCCTCTCCTTTCCTGCACTCTTTTCTCTTCTCTCTGGCTCCCTCTCTTCTCTCCAACTGAGGGAACTAAAGCAAAGTTGGGGTAGTAGCCTTAAGGCTAGTTCTCTGAGAGGAGGCAGTGGGTACCCCAGAGAGTCAGGACACTTGTCCTTGGGGTCTTGTCACCCTTCTGGTCCAGGTGGGGGAGGGAAACAGGGGTCTCACTTCGCCCCAAGACAGCCTGGCCACTGTTCTGGACTGAGGCTTTCTGCCTTTTGGAAAGACTGGTTTGCTCTAAAGGCTGATAACCTCAGGGTCCTTGGGGCCCCTGCCCAGCCACCTCCCCAACTTTGACTTTAGGGATGGCAAGAAGAGAGAGACAGAGAGGGAGAGAGGTGGACAGACTGGTGGAGAAAACGATTTTTAACCCTTTGCTCCCAGACACCACCTTCACCCCAGTTCCCCAAATATCCCAGGCGAGCCCCGCGCCCCACCCCCAGCTGAACCTCCCCACCTCGAGAAACCCACTCAGGCACGGGGGTGGGGCCGCAGAGACCCCAAAGCCAGGAGGGAAAGCGAGGGCAGACAAAAAGGAGGCAAGGGAGGGGGGGGGGAAGACCCCGGAGCGCGGGAGACCAAGGGGGAAAGAGAAAAGGCTTCTCACCGTGGGGTCTCATCCATGGAAACATGAGGCTGGGAGACGAGTTTTGATTTAAGTGGCCTTGTCCTTCGCTACTGTTAGTGTTGGCGGAGGATTTACAGTCGGGATATTGCACCACGCTCGCCTCTTGCTGAGCCCCATAAAGGGACTGTCTGGGGAGCGCCTCGTAGCCATAGAATTTGGAGGCGTCTCCGTGGCAGCTCAGCGAGCACGGGTTCTGCTGGTAGCCCGAGTTGGAGATGCCCGAGGTGCCGTGGTGGAAGAAGTCTTGGACGTGGTGCGAGGCGTGCTGGAAGCCGGGCGCCGAGCCGCCGGGCCCGTACACCAGCGCATGGCTCCGGCCCACGCTCTGGGGGAACCGGCAGTCGTAATAGGCCGGTTCCAGGGACTCGCCGCCTTTGTATTTGGAGAACAGGGGGTTGACGAAGTAGGAGCTCATGCTGGGCACATGAAAACCCGCCGCCCCCTCCCCTCTGGCTCGCGACTCCCCCGCCCGGTACCCCCGAAAGTCCCCTCCCCCGGGAGCGAACCCCGGGCCGGCCGGCTCCCCGGGGCTGGGCTGGGCAGGTGGGGGGGCGCCTGGGTGCCGGGCCCGGCCGGCTCGGCGCGGCTCCCGGGGCTGGGCGCGGGCGGGCGGCGGCGGCGGGCGCGGGCGGCGGCGGCGGCGGCGGCGGCTCTCTTCACTGTCGGTAGGTAGAGCTCGCGCTCTCGCACTTAGCTCTTTCCTTTAACAGCCCAGGCGAATTCCTCAGACTCCCGGCGGTGGCGGCGCTTACACGCGATTCGCGTTCATCAATCCACGACATGAAGACAGGCGAGAGAGAGAGAGAGAGAGAGAGAGAGGGAGAGAGAGAAGGAGGGATGGAGGAGGGTTGAGGGGTTCAGGGCTGGGGGGACCTGGAGGAAGGGGAAGGGAGGGAGGGGGAGGGAGGGGGTGTGGTATATGTGTGTGTGGTGGGGGGTGAGCCAGCCCCAGCTAATGGCTGGGGCCAGCTTCTCCAAGGTGCGCATTCCGATTTGAAGGTGCCTCTCCCCCCCTTCCCCTTTCCTTCCTCTCAGACAGAGATACCTGAGCCAGCAGGTCAACCCAGGTTACCTCAACAGGTATAAGACCCTCCCCCTGGGGGGGGTGTTGAATGCCAGCGTGAGAGAGCAGGTCCCCTAACCCAAAAGATGGGTTCCCCAGGGGGTCCGTAAGCCTGGGACTCAGAAGGGGCAAGCACATCAGTACAGCATATCCCCCAGTACTTCAGGAACCCCAACCCTCCATGTCTCCGGTCCCTCCTCAGGGTGGGAAGCCACCCCATCTTCCCCTATTCCTAAGATCCTTTGCCTGGCTGCTGTGGGTAGAGGAGAGGGCTGGAGGTGGGGCACACTGTATAGACCCAGGCAGGGCTGCACTGGCCCCTTCAGACACCAGCTCCTGCTTGAAGCTTGGCTGGGGGCTCTGAGAGCAAAGCAGTTTATGGAGACAGAGGACAGGGCAGCTGGCGGGTCTCTGGCTTCTGGATGGGCTGATCCAAGATGTTTCTTCTCAGGAGACTATTTGTATCTGGGTCGGATGGGACCGGAGCAGGCCTCTTACTTGTCCCCACACACTCTAGCCCTATAGGACATGCCAGCTCGACCTGGAGGGGCCCCCTGGCCTCACTACACCCCTTACTTACCAGGCAGGATGCCCAGGCCAGGATGTGGATGGGAACTGTCAACAGGCACTCTTTAAATATTTACCCATAGTTTCTCTAGGGGGTTCCTCCCCCATCCCCAAGACTAGGTAAATTCAATGGATAAAAGAACCTTAGTCCATCAGCACCCTTCTCATACCATAAGCGTGTACAGTTATGTGGGGCTTAACACAGACAGAGAGAAAAGAGAGAAAGTGAGAGAGCTGTGAATACGTGTGCTGTGTGCATACGAATTAGGAAGAGGAATTAGAAGGATTTTTCCAGCCCTCCCCTTCCACAGTGTGTGAGGTTGGTGCACACAGGGCAACAGTGGAGCACACTCAGGATACACACACACACTGGATATGTCACCTCCCACCCAAAAACGCATCGAACGCACGCTCCCTCAACTATCATGCGTGCCTGGAAGCACCCCTGTCACCTCACAGACACTGTTCGCCCAGGCACACAGGGAACCAAAGCCTGACAAATACACGTGCATCTCTAGCTGTTTGCATCAGGAAAAAATTTGCTCCTTATTTTCTTTCCACATCCTGGGGTCTCAGGATTGGATGAGGAAGGAGGCTGTTGGAAAACCAGATCTTTTTCTTCCCCAGCTGGAGCCCAGCTCTGGAGATGGATGAAGGAACGGCAATGCAGGAAAGGATGGAGTAGAATAACACCAGCCCCCAAGTCCCTCTAATATCTAAATAATTGCTGGGAAAATGGCCACTCTCAGCCAAATTCCCAAAGAAGAGTCACTGGTGCTCCAGCCAAAGACACTTCCAGGATCCCTTGAATATGGAGGGACCCACCTCCACCTGAATTAAGGACTGCCCAGACTCTGCAACGTCCAGAACTCTGGCCCTGGAGCAGCAGGAGGGGAGGATCAGAGGAGGGCTGTGCCAGCACCGCAGGTCTCCCTAGGGTCCAGGACAGTTGGGGACATGACAGGGGTCTCCTCCACTGCTAGAGCAAGCTCCAGCCTTGGATTCAGCCCTGCCTTCTCTGAGCCTCCTCTGCTCAGAGTACCAAGCTGAAGGAGATGGGCTCTGGGTTCCCAGCATCTGGGTCACTGGGGACTGTCATAAATATTTCCCCTTTCCTGCCTGGAAGGAGGAGGCTCGGCAGGCCAAATCCGCTCTGGGGCCTGCGCCTTATCTTTTAGAGGGTGGGGGGGGATATCTCGACATTTTATGGTCCAGCGAAAACCCTGCCACAGAGCTATTCTTCCAGGCCTTTGTGTCTTGGAATGTGACTGTCCCGAGTGTGCCGCCACCACCGTCTGCTCTGAGAGCCCACCAGTCCCCAAAACCCTGGCTGGACTCGATTTCCCCTTTTGGGGGTCCCTCACCTTTTCTTTCTTTCTTTTTTTTTCTTCCCGCCCCCCAATTGGATTGCCTTTTTTTCTTTTACACGTATCTGGTTGATTTCGCTCCCGGAGCTTGGAAATAAAGGAACCACAAGCAGCCATCCTCGCTGGGGCATCTCTGCCCCTCGCCCCGAGGCCTACTCCGCCCTCCTAGGTACCACGGATTTACGTTCGTTTGTCCGGGTCATTCTGCCTTTTTGTGTTAATTACGAGCTGCCTGCTTGGTGCTTATCTCCTTCGCAAAGCGATTATTTTCGACGCCCGCCCTCCTGAGCCTCCGGAGCCTGCCGCCAGAGCGAGGGCCCATCTCCCGCCGCCACTCGCGATTTATTTACACCTCGCAGGTGAGAGGATTGATTTGCTCAGAGCCAGCGGGGCCGGTCTGGGCCGGGGCGCGGGGCCTTCTCCCCGCCGCTCCTCCCGGCCGTGCCTCAAATGTCAGTGCGGCCAGGCCGGCCAGGGGCACCGCCGCCGCCTCTAACATTGAGCAACAGCGCCACCTCGCGTCCACTTGCTCCAATGCAGTCCTGCCGGAAAATGCCAACAGAGCCGGCAGGTCCCAGCCTTGGCCCAAAGGTGGGAAGTGAGAGGAAGTAGTTTCCAAATGGGTGCGAGAGCGAGGGGTCCCCGGAAGGGAGTTCCCCCGGGACCGCTGTCCTTTTGTTTTCCAAACTCTCCGAATAACCTTCTCAAAGGTTTCGCACTATTTTCTTCTTTCACCCTCCCTTGCCGCATTAAGAGACGCTGCGCAAAGGACCTGCCGCGATCTCCCCCCTATTCAGGCGCATTTCTGGGCTCGGAACACCTCAGCTCGCGCAGATGCACGCTCCGAGGCTCCAGCGACCTCCTGCCCGCGGCGCGCGCCCAAAACTGCTCGATCCTCTTACCCTGCCGCTGGTTCCGCACCGCCTACTCCGCTGCCGCCCGCAGGACTTTGGGGTGGGACGCTGACTTCTCCCTTCTCCCGACTGTTTGCCCCCTGGTTTGTAGCCCAACCCGCCCCCCCTCACGCGCGCTCTCTCCCCACCTCTCCCTCCCAGCCAGTGAGGTCCTGTTCTCCGTGGGCCATAGACAAAACATTTCTATAATCCGATTTCAAAGGAAAGAGTGTCCACCTTATTTAAACCATAAAACAATTAAGCCCAGACGTCTAGCCAGCTCCGCGCTGCTGTTTTGTTCAGCCCCATTCAGAATCCAGCGCAGGGAGACAAACAGCGCCATAAAAGTGGCATTTCGGGGCTGCGGAAATGTACCTATCCGCTGCCTTCCCAAGTGGAACAACCTTTAGGGTTTTGTGATTCTGACAAAGGAGCAGAGGAGAGGTGGGAGGGGAAGATTAGGGCAGGAGGGCGTTTGCTAGCCTCTCCCCCCCGCCCCCCGCCCGCTTTCGTTTCTTTCCCTAGATGTATCCTGTGTTGTGGTTTTAATTCACAAATTGTAATAAATTTAAAAAAAAATTGAATCCAATCCTAACCTGCAGGCTGAAGGCTGAACTGGAACTCAACAGTGGGCTGGGCCGGGTGGGCCTGCTCTAGATCCCACGCTCTCGCCAGGGCCCTCGGAGCCCTGAGCCCTGCGGCCCTCCTTCCTGTCCGGAGTAAGGCCGGATCAAGCGGGCTGCAGGAAGCAGGCCGCGCTGACGGACGAGGGGAGGCGACTGGGCCTTGACGCAGGGGCGGGGTGGAGGCCCGGAAAGGCCGCGGAGCCTGGGCTGAGAAAAGCCTGAGTGTCCGCAGTCAGGACCGGCAGTCAGGACCCAGGAACACGGGTGCCCTGGCCTCCGCCCAGTGCGAAACTGGGGCCAGGGTCCCAGAACAGTGAGATATTTGGCCAAAGGGGGGAGTTTGGATTGAGAAAAGAGGATAAACGACAGGCAAAGCACCCTTCAAAAGGACCAAGAAAACAACTGCTTCCGGAATTAGGGTGGAGGTTTCTTCAGTGGGAAAGAGAGGGAAAACCAGTGTTTGCGACTTTTGGTTGCCCCCCTCAAAATATCATCCAAACAAAATGTTTGTGCCAGGATCCTACCTTCCTCCAGCCCCCGAAATTGGAGTGTTGGATGGAAGGAGGGGGTAGGAGATTCAAATGATGGGGAAGGGGCTGGTCCCTCCAAGGGCCTCACCAATCCTGTAAGGCCAAGCGATGGAGGAAGCTGCAGAAGGACTGGGATCCCCAATGATTTTCTTTTATGGTGGTATTCCCCAAGTACTCAGAACAACACCCTGCATCCTCGCCAGAATGGGCAGCCTGAGATATTAAAGCGCTATATTTCAAGACGTCTGAGTTTAATAGTTTCCAGATTGGGGGATTTCCGAGAAAGGGGGCGCCGGGCCGAGGCATATCCAGCAGCTCATGTCTGCTTCTGATTAGCAGATGAAAACGACCGGTGCTGGGGAAGGCGCTCTGGGGTGCAGTGCAACTGACCAGCCCCAATAG